CCCAATATGTGACAGAAACACTGGCCTCTCCAAAGCCACTTTTTGTTCCTGATGCAGTATAATTAGAATAAAAATTAATGAAAGATTTAAAGAGACTTTAGTAAACTTCATGTACTACATCTAGAGACTTCCAGCCAGGAGGACTCACTAGGAAGGACTGACATCCTAACCTCCATTTGCCGACAGCTATCAACAGGAGAAGCCTTCACTGGGAAGGGAAACTACTGAGCTTCTCACATGCAGAGCATATAGCATACCTCATTCTTACAATCCATAGGCTCGCTGTTGAAAAATGCAAGTGGGTAAGCTCTAGCTTGTAGTCAACAGTTTTATAAATTTGCTTTACATCCTTTACCCAAGCATCTGAAACCTGTGGATTTTCACAACACCAAGCTTTAGATTATGTAGTGCCTTTAAAAAGAACAAAACAGCTTTTAAAGAGCTTTTCCCACTTAGTCATCTGTCCAAGCTAAACCCTGGGGAGCATTCAGACCAGTGTTATGCAGGATGCTACAGCAATTCCGTTACAGTGTCAAGTATATAGTGTGGGAAGAAAAGCTCATTCTGACACCAATGCAGTACTTCCCCCGAGATCCTGAACATGGATCATTTTTTAAAGATACAGCCAACAGCTTAAAAACTCAGTAAGAAACACATATATACTAGCTGCCACAAAATCGCTTAAATGAAAAAAACTTTTACCTTTAATTCATGATAATTTATTGCTTTATCTTTGTCTGTATCAAACAACTCAAAGGCATCTTTAATTTCTTGCTTCTGTTCCTCAGTCAGTTCTCTTCTTTTCTTCTTTTTATTTTTGTCTACTGTAAGCTCATTCCTATATAAGACAAAAGAAATTAAGTACAATTGATTTCTACTGGGAAGATAACACTGTAGATAACATTTTCCACCAATAAGAAACTCGCCATAACTGCACAGATCACTACCTTCCCAAGAGACTGAATATCTTTTCCCAGTTTAAAATAACACTTGAAATAGACAATTCCTTTGTGAAAGCTGAATGATACCTCCACTCCCCGACAAAAAATAAAATCAGCACAGCTGTTTTGGCTAATAAACAACAACAACAACAAAGAGGGTAGAAAACCTACCAAAAAAAAAAAGAATACTTGAGGTTACAAACTAGATTAGCAGTTGAAATGATACAACTCGCGAGAACACTTTATTTCTGAATTGTAGCTTAGAAGAAAGAATTATGAGAGACAGACAGGTTGCTGGAGGCTTAACTAGGCCAGACAACTGGGTTGTCTGGCTACTTAAGTGAGTGTTAAGTGCCACAAATCGCCTCTGTTGCCAGTAACAGTTCTTAGATAACTGGCATTTATGGATTTTTCTTAAATCCTTTAAATCACACATACACACTGTTCTAAAGATTTTTTGCTCTTTTTGGTATATACAAAAAGAGACAAGCCCCCCAAATCAGCAAATCTTGCTCAAAGACAGCCCTCTTTTCCTTGGCTAGTCTAGAAATAAGATTAAATTTTCAGATAACAGACAGAAAACACATGATTCATATACTGGGAACAACAGTTGAAAAAACTGAAAAGGATGGCACTGATTAAAGATACTTTGGACCAAGCTAGTAAAGTGCAAATTTTGCTGTAACTGTGCTTTGTTCACATGAACGAGATTGACTGCTGTATCCAGAGAAATTAGTTGGAAGATGTTCATTTCAGAGCAAGAGCTCTTAAAAAAAGAAAAAAATAGTACATTTGAGATAACAGGTGACATCAAGTAAGGCTGTTACAGTACTCAGGGTACACTCTTGGAAGCAGTGGGCATGCATGAAGCTCAGCAGCATGCTGTGAGGAGCATGGCTAACTGCAGTGGTAAATCCCCTCCATTCTGTTATGAAGGCAAATCAGATATACTGTGTCCAGTTGTGGACACCTCAGTATGAGAAGAGATGCAGAGAAAATGGCTAAGGTCTAAGGCAGACTACTGTGCCTGATGCCTGCAGCACATGGTGCCTGAGAAGCTGAGGGAGCTGGGTTTGTTTAGACCAGGGTGAGTAGGGCAGAGGGACTAGGTGGGGCACAGCTAAGGAGATGGGATCTAAGTGCTGCTCTTCGCTATCTAGAGGGTTATTACACAGAAGACAGAGACAGGTTCCCCACAGAGGAGCACAGAGAAAGGACAAGAGACAACAACTACAAAATGCAAGAGGAGAAACTACAGCAGGATCTAAGGAGAAACATTTTCCCAGTATTTGAGTATTTATGTGCTGGAACAGTTGTGCTGGAAGACAGAGGAGTCTCAGAAATTTTTGGAAGCCAACTACAAAAGGTGCTCAGCAACCTCCTTCACTTTTGAGTTGGACCTGCTCCAAGCTGAAAGCTGGACTAGATGGCTTCCACAAATTATTGTGTAATTTAGGTTATGCTCTCAGGAAAAGGCTTTTTACACTCATTTGTTTATTTGCATCAGAGACAAAATGCGTGCTGTGTCACCTACTGCAAAATGCATAAAAATTACTGATGAGTGAACAGAAAACTGCTTTTCAAGGATATTTATTTTCCAAATCTCCTGAAATGAACAGCTTTTTCTTCTCCTTTGTTAAGGATTTGCTAATTTTAATCAAAACCAAAGATTAAACACACAGCTGGGATTTAGCTTTCAACAACCACTGAAGCTACACCAGTAAAAATTCCAAATATAGACAAGCACAAGCTGCACAAGCTGGACCTGCCTCAGACCACAATATCCTCAAAGGGTGAGGAAATCCTTAGCAGACTAATTGAGACAGCATGATTTCACACAGGCTTTGGATTACTATAGCTTTTGGAAGGACTAAAATATCTCTGAGCTGGCTACATAATTAGGATTGGGAGAGTAGCTGAGATCCAGAGAGCTCACATTTTGTGAGCCGTGATGATGAAAACCATATAGAAGTCTGAAAGCAGATTACTGTGGAACTCGTCTGGAAGAAGGATCTAGCTACTCACGTGTTTATTTAATGCTTGGCATAAAAAAATTCTTTTAAAAGATGAAGTGGTACTTAAATGCAAGTAGTTCAGTGCCGCTTCTGCTACAACCACTTTTACTATGCGAAGCATGAAGTTCTCAAAACTTTAAAATTAAGGATCACATATGCCATATATGCATATTAAGTACGCTCGAAGACAAGGATTTGTCAGGTATAGAATTTATAAGCCAGGCCCCTTTATAAAACAGTTACTGAATTTCAATTAAAAAAAAAAAAAAAACCAAAAACAAAACAAAAAACCCCCAACAGTCGAACTTAAGGCCTATTAAAAGGCTTTCTGAGGGTGCATTACTTTAGACAATCCAGAAGCGAACCTCTCAGGGCAGGCCCCGACGGGCCCTACCCTCCCCCGGCGAACAGACGGCTGTCG